ATGGCGGCCGTTCCAGGGCACACCCAAGATGGCGGCCGTTCCAGGGCCCACCCAAGATGGCGGACGCCACAGGGGGCCCGAGATGGAGGCCGCAAGTAACGGAGGCAGCCCCAGCGGCGGTAAACTCCCAGGGAAGATTAGAGCCTTTGGGAGAACCAGGGAAGCGTACCCTGGGCTAGAAGGCGTTCGCGGGGGGGGAACGGCGGCTAAAGTGAGGAGAGGCAGGCAGGAACGAAGCGGCCTCGCGCGGAGCGATTAGGCGGCAAACGAAGCGGTGGGGGGGGGGCAGCGCTCGAAGCGCTCGTTTTCTCCCCCTAAGGAAACAGTTCGGAAGTTAAAAAACACTCCCTGGGGAGTTCAAACCTGAAGTCCTGCGCTGCCTGCCGGTGATCCAGTAGAAAGCGATGAGAAGGAGAGGCCTAGAATGCTGAACGACCGGAGCAAGGGAAAAACAGCCTGTTAGCCACGAGGCTGAGCAAAAAACTGGGGAGCGCCCGAGGACCACGTGACGGTGAGGGGGCGTTCCTCAATTTCAAGCTCAGCCTGGAAGAGCCGAGACTGGAGCTCCTCCCAACCTGGACACTCGAGACAGCTCTATGGAAAATCTCCTGTTTCGGCCAAGGAGTAACGAAAAGGCACTGCCTATCCCTCATGAGGCTGAGCCAAAACTGGGGAAGGCTGGGAAGGAGTCCCGTGGAGGAGGAGGAGGAGCGTTCCACAAATTAAGTCCAGCCTAGACATGCAGAGACTGAAGCACCTCCCACTACTGGATGCTCTGAACAGCTCATGGGAGAATTTTCTGCTTCAGTTGAGATGGGGAAAGAAGAAACCAGCATTCCACCTCCATGTGCTGCAGTTAAAATGAAAGGTAGGGTCTGCCTAAACTCACTTGTTTTTAAATTTGGTATGACCGCTAAAGGCATATGGAATATCATACTGAGCTCAGCTCCAAATGATAAGATGTTGAATCCTTTTCTGTGCGTTCAAATTGTATTAAATGTCACATGCAAAAAATTCCTAGAGAATCCTAGTTTTGTTCAGCTTAAAAGTAAGTATGCCCTCCTTACAAGAGCACTCCCAAGTTGTGTCCTCTGGCATGAGAGAGAATACTTCAACCAGTACATAGATCAACGTGGTCCACAAAGACTTGAATACAGCAGCTGCTCCCAATTTATTTTAAAAATAGAGGATGGCTTTGCTTGTACTATTTTGACTGGCAATCAAGCCTGTTTTATAAATTCCTATTGGAACAATTAATCAGTTAAGACATTCAAGTCTTCAAGTGCAGATATATGAATCTAGCAATTCTCCCAGAAAGGAAATACTGAATTATCTAAATCTGAGAAAACAGATTCTTGTTTGCATTGTCAGCCATTTACCACATCCTGTAAAATTACAGAATGTATTCTGAAGGAATAATTTGTGTATTAATGATTAGCTATAACTCTGAACTGTACAGCAATTCAGTAATGTACATGGCTTATCAGACTCTTAATTTCAATTTTTATGTATTAATCGAGGAACTAATGTAACATTAAAAAAAACTATGACAATCTTTGATAGAAATCTTTGAAAATTTTTGAGAATTGAATGTAAAAGAAAAAAATACCTAACTTTAAGCAGTTATTACTGAATGCTAGTCACAGTAATAAGTCACATGCTTTCTATTTAATCCATTTTATTATGATTACAAATATCCAAAATATTTTCCCCATTTAAAAATGTTCACGAACCATGTCCATATCATGTTATGTGGAAACGAAAACAATCTCATTTTTAAATATAGCCGAAATAAGTTCCATTTGCAATTCCTCTGGCAAGATTTTTATAAGCATCGAACTTGAATTGGAAGAAAAGGTGAAGAAAGGTCCAAAGACCCAGTATCGTTTTTTTAACATAAAATAAATTGTATCTTCTTTGAAAATCCACTTCATCTTCAAACTCTTCAGTCAACTTACTTAACTTTCTGTTTCTTTCTTGCTTGAAACTGTTCTGTTTTATTCTTGACGGATTTGATTAACATCGACAATGCAGGATCTAAAGTTTTTGTGGCAACAGGTTCCTCCTCTGCCACATTGTCCTGCTTCCCCTTTGCCTCAGTTGACCCCTGGTGCCTTCGGCGAGCTTTTTCCTCTAAAATCTTTTGCACTGCTTTTGTTTTCTTAAAGTTTGGATCGGAAGGATCCAAATTAAACAAATGGGAAGTATACATGGCTTGAAACCTGGCATCATCAACATTTACCTGGGAACAGCAAAAAGGAAATATTACTTGCTGGAAAAAAAAAAAAAGGAGGAGAAAATTTTAACTATAACCTGCAAGACAGACGTAGCTTAACAGGACATACAATAACCTTCAGACTGAGGGAGCAGTTCTCAGGAATGTTAAATACATAGGCCGAGAACCTGAAAAGAGACCATATACCTCACAATATGCTAAATATGCCTTACCCTACATGAAAATACAATTCATCCCCTGCAGTCACATGACCGGATTTTGGCCCTTGGCAACCACCCCACATTTATGACTGGCTGCATCGTCCCATGGTTACATGCCTGCAGTTTTTTGTTTTTGTTTTGCCTGTTTCCAGCAAATTATCTATGGTTTCATACTTATGGCCACATGATTCAGTTAATGACCACTGTAAAAACAATCATTAAAGTTGGGTCTTCAGATGGATGCCTCAATCTATGTCTGTTTTATGACTTATGACAAAATTCTAGTCCCAATTCAGTCATAAGTTGAGGATTGCCTATGCATTCTTTTTACCTTCTTACTATTTCTTCTGAGTCTTCTTATATAGAATAGAACAGAACAGAACAGAACAGAACAGAACAGAACAGAACAGAACAGAACAGAACAGAATAGAATAGAACAGAACAGAATACTTTATTGGCCAAGTGTGATTGGACACACAAGGAATTTGTCTTGGTGCAAATGGTCTCAGTGTACATAAAAGAAAAGATACATTCGTTAAGAATCAAGAATCATAAGAACAATATAGAAATCAAGCCCATGCTGTTCTCCTGAAAACATATGAAGAACAACTTTTTCAATCAATATGTATTCCCCTATTTCATAAACCAAGAGCTGATCTGAAATGGCCCAAGAAACGGCAGAGAAGCCACGTTCTATAAACTTTGGAATTCATTCTATATACAATCCCTATTCCTCTTTTTTTTTTGCATACCAGCAGAGTCATTCATAACTGCATTAAACACCTTCCTAAAATACAAGTGTACACTGGCAATAGAATTCTTATGCAAAAGAATTATGATGTATGCTTCAATTTCTATAATTTTTTGAATGCTTCAATTTCTATACTTTTTTATGTAAAAACATAATACTTTTGCTAAGATGGAAACAGTGTGGAGACCTGAACCACAGATGACATGTATAAATCAACAGCTTTATTGTCCATGAAATATTCTTGGAAACTACTTATGTGAGATAACCTCAAATGGGTAATAAAAATTATTCTTCAAGAGGAAATTCTTTCTTGAATGAGAAAGATTGGTACTATAGAATAAGGTATCATCAGAAGGAAAAGGGATTTAGACATAAAACAAACAAATTTTGCACGTCAATATTTCTGTGGTTATATATTTAGATTGACAGAATCAAAGTGGATGAGAACAAGAATAAAAGTGGAGAGAAATTTCAAACTTGGATTTGTTCTTCATAATTACAAATTTGTGTGTTACCAATTAAAAGTGGTGGAGTTCCTTTTTACTAGGCCTGTTACTGAACTACCTTTCACATGAACTGCAAAGCTTAGATAAATGGTTTATATGCTGTTGTAGGGAACCAGTTTAGTGGCAAAGAAACCACTTAGTTTAGGAAAGGCCTGGAAACCAGGAGACTGTGAGATCTAGGCTTCCCCTAGGCCTGGAAGCCAGGTGGATGACTTTTGGTCCAGTTCAAAGAATGGTGGTGGTGAAAGTAGATGGACGAAGAAGTATTAGGTATGTTCACTACTTTGAGTAGAAAAAGGGTGGCTACATCATCATTATCTTTAGCCTCCTTCTTTCCTCCATTCTATATATTTATGAAAAGGCAAAGGAGGAATGTGTACCTTTCCTTCCTATTATGCCCAAATGAGATTTCAGGAGTAAAATATTACTTGGGGCTTAAGTGATATGGGGTAATTTATCAAAACAATGGGAATGATAATAGTAAAATATATTTCCATGTTAATAGCTGTGGTTATTAGTCTGTATTAATCCAAAATGATCAGTGTGTTTACTACATTTCAAAAGAGGGAGGCCCATTGTGTTACCTGGAAGTCATCTGTCACCAGTTCCTCCTTCTTCATTAGCAGTTTCTTTTTCCTTTTGCTCAGGTTCTGCTGTTCTACAATTTTGTCATAATTGAAGTGACTCCTTTCCTCCTCCTCATCCATCATCAACAAAGCCAATTCAGCCTGTTACAATCAGAACAGAAAGGCCCTGTTTGTATCCATTTCAAGTAATACAGATTCCAGATGTTTCTATCTCTCAGTCAAAGACTGTGTTGCTAATGCAGGATTGGGACAACCATAATAGCTGATCTATTTCCAAAACATTTTTATAAGCAAGGATAGGAGCGCTTTATTATAAAAAGGAAAGAAAAAGCAATTAATAGCATTACCCTCACTGCAATAAGACTAGATTGAGAATTCTAATCTCTGTTATTTATTGGTGATGCCTTAACCCGTCTTTCTTTTGAAAAATGTAACATGTCATGTCTTAAACTTCCAGGCAAAGTCTAACTCAAATGTCAATCACACTAAGAATCTCTTAACAACATATTCAAAGACTGCTTGAAGTTTAATACTTGGTGTCATGTTCTCCAGATATACAGATTCCAACATGGCGTTGAAAGCATGCAAGTGGACTGTGGGTCCTTGCACTCATATGAACACAACATTTTAGTTGCACCAGGGGGTATAACCTCCTGTTCTGAAGAAGCCATTCCCAACCCAAATATTTGCTAGAGATGTAGAATAATTCTTGGCAACACTCATACTAAGGGGATTCTAGCAATTGCAACCATCTATTTTTCTACATGCTAACATCCTTCTGTCAATCAGTAAGCAAGATCTTATTATTTTCTACGAATTAATAGTAAAAACAAGCAGTTAATCTTTTTAGGAATTTGAAAATGCCATACTTTTTGGCACATCTATATATCTACAAATTAAGCATTTGCACTTACACATGGTAGATCTAAATTAGATAGCTTATTAGATATGTTCAAAATATTCCCAAGTCATAATGTTTGAGTTTCAGATAATCACCTTTTTGAAGTATTACAAAAAAGACAACAATGCATGTCCCGCTATTATAATCTAATTGGCATATTAAGAGAATTTAGCAAATCCTGGCTGGTTCTAAACAATTAATCAAGGTTTTATTATTGTTTAAATGGAAGGTCACCAGGAAACATTAGGATTGAAGCTTCACTGGGAAAAAAACGCTCTGGAAAAACACTACAGCAAAGTATTTCCACAGTGCTGCAGAAATACAATATGGAGCTTTTCCTCAAATCAGTAGAAATCAAGCTCTATTCAGACTTCACCAGTACCTTAACATGACAGTCAACATCTGGCAACTGCTTAAACATGATCACAAGTAACAGACATTTCAAAGCTGCCGTGTATTCCAAACATATGCAATATCATGACATAATGTGGAATGTCCCTGAGGAAACATTTTCCATTGCCTTTCACATGGATGGTGGTGGTGTTTAAACTGATTCAGACTAGATGGCAAATTCCTGGAATATCTTGCAAGTACAGACATTTCAGAAATGAGAGGAAGAAAGCTAAGTTTCTGAGAAAAATCATCCTATGATTTATTGTCAACAAATATTGCTACACTGACTAATACAGGAGAATCATTTCACAAAGTGAATTCATTCTTCCAATGGAACTTCCATCTCATGTCTTTTTTAAGGAATAAGAAATAAATTCCATTTTTGTATTAGGTTTTCCCAACCACTAACTTTCATTATTAGTCATTTTAGTTAGGGGTCATTCTGATTTCATGCAACATAAGCTACTTTTTGTTTTAGCACATTGGGTGATATTAACGTATATTAACCATCTGAAGATGACTTGCAGCTCATCATTAATGACAGCAATGCAAAGCCAAGTAGCCACATGCATAAATTAATAAATGCATTGGCAAAGTAATATGAACTGTGGTTTACATACTGATGGTTTACATACTGATGTAAATGGTTGTAAATGTAAATGGTTTACATACTGATTTTCTCAAAGTGCATTTGCAGTAAAAAGAGTTTGGTTTTAGAAAAAGGGAGTGGGGCGGCATTTGTTGACATCTGCTTCTCTCTCCTACTGTTTAGACATGGATCTGGATAACAAGAAAGAGAGAAGTGCCCCCCATTTTCTCTTAGGAGATTTTAAACAGCTCCTCTTCCTAACCATCCCTTTTCATTTGATCCTTCCTCGGCTTATGGACCAAAAGGGCAAGAGTGAAAATGAAAACACATTGTGTTTGGACCCTGATGTTCTTTAGGCTTGCTTGCTCAGCTTTCCTCATCACTGCCATTCTCCAAAAGAAAGGCTTCAGCGAAAAGAAAAAAAACAGCTAATCCTATAGCACTGCTGAAGCCAATGTTTGTACCGGTCTTGTTGCTACTGGAAAGACCTACATGAGACACATTTCTAAGCTGGGGCAAGGATGTGTCTTTTTTTAAAAAAAAGCAATAATAAAAGGATTCTTAATTAATTCCTGAAAGTGAT